CACTTTAAAAAGTGTATATTCCTAACAAAAGGTTTACAATAAGGTGGTGTGTTGTCATACCTGTTAAAATGCAGTTAGTTAGTTAGTGCATTAGTCTGATATTATATTTCAGTCACCGATGAATAAACATCTCAAAGTCACCGATGAATAAACATCTCAAAACATTTTTGTGTTTATTTGACATCCGATATACCTGAACGTCAATTAGTCAAAATGATTCAAGGGAAATTTAATAAAGTGCACATTTTAGACAGGTTTGTTTTTAAATGTTTTAAACTTTACTATTCAAATTGAGAAATGCTCACATTCAAGGTTTTTTAATGTGGGAATCAATGGGACGATGACAAGACCGAAAAGGCGTTCCAATTGAAAGGTGTTAGGGAAACAAGTTGTTCACAACTAAAGGTTCTACTTTATTCATGTTTTTCCTCAACCATATTCAGTGAAGAACATTTATAGACGTCAAGTATTCATTGTTTTTCTATAATTAATAAAATGCTTGGCCACGGTTCCACGGTACAAAGGCCACGGTACCTAGTTTTAGAACCAAATTCTGCAACTGATTTTTTGGTATCAAGGTTCCACTGTTATATTTGGGGATTTATCATATAGTTAATCGTGTTTTAAGTAAATAACACGCGGGAATATAATTGATATCTGAGGTGAGCGGGAGATGTATATATGTATTCCATACCTACTCAGCTTCTACACTGGCGGATCTGGGGGGGGGGGCATAACAGGTACATAACAGCAGGAATTTATAGTGTATCTACAAGGGATCTATCGCTTAAGTCCGGGACAGGGATGGATTCAGGCTGTAACCATCCTGGTCCCACTCCTGAAAAGCGAACTCACTTTATGCTTTACTCAATACGAAATAAAAATTATACTTCAAATTTATGCTGTATATTTTAAATTTTAATATCAATTCGTTTATCTGCTCCAGAAAAATATGGGTGTGAAAATTTCACAAACTTAAAAACTACTTTTAAGACGTTTTTAATTTGGAACTTTATGAGGTCTAGTGTACCTAGAACCTTAGAAGGTATGGAATGCATATATTATGTACGGTCGGTTTTGGATGCAGACTTTATCCAACGTGCCTAAAACCTCCCAGTACATAACCCTTATATTATATCTCCCACTGTATTTCCCGCTCTGCAATCCCCGGGAATTTGGTTTAGTGCATTTCGTGCACTGGACGATACGAAAGCTGTAAACGATAGGATAAATCAGTTATTTAATGCTTGGTTTTAGATCCGGGTTTTGGATTCAGGGTACACCGTGAGGGAAATACAATACAACTAGCTGAGGGGAGATATATCATATTTCCCTCATATATCATAAAAGAAATTAGGTTGATAATTTCAATAATTATTATGACACTCACATATTTTGCTCACACGATCTGATGATTTAGCATGTGAAGTTAAAATCTTGATCAACTATTAGAAATTCAAAATTTTTGAAATCTCTTGAAAGCCCATGACTATTTGCATTAATACTTCTTTACAACTACAATACCAAGATATGGCTCCTATCAAATAAAAAAATAAAAAACAGAAACTCTGATATCAATATACATACTGTAGTCTGTTGTATTCAAAAGTTCTTTACAAAAATACAATCAAAAGCCATTAAATACCAAAATGTTTGATACTGTAACCTTGATTTAATAACATTTAGACAACAATTTTTGCACTTTGCCAAAAACAATGTACTTTTGTGTTTCTAAAAGCATGAAAACAATTCACACAAAATTTACTATACTAGACGAGCTACAGTACACAAGGTAACCCATAAAGTCATTCTTCTTGCAAAGGTGATCTATTGTAATAACTTACGCGAGGCTAGTCAACTGATGAAGTACTATACTAGAAAATGTTAAGTTCGGTCTTGTTAAATTGTTTTAACATTTAGATTTACATATCTTTGTCCAAAGGCCATATAAAAAAATAGCTTCATCCTCTCATATTGGGTTGTATTAAGTGTCTAGCATAAATCCTCCTCTTGTGTTTGAAATTGTTCATATTAGTCACTATAGTATCAGATTATTGGTCCTAATAACTTGGGTATCTATCAGAAGGTCCTCTTGAGGGAGGTGGTCCCATCCCAGCTGCCCCAGGTCTGGGACCAGAAGGGGGAGGACCCCTTGGTTGGCTATCTTGCCAAGGGCCTCTTGAGCTAGCTGAGGCAAAGTGTGGACTCATAGGTCTACTACTTTCATATTGGCCTGGGAATCTGGCTGATGATCCCCCAGTTCGTCCCTGGGGTGCGGAGTTCTGGTATGTTCCACCACTATATGTACTTGGGGGGTAGTGGGTGCCTGTCTGAGCATAGCTTGCCCCTGGGCCACCTGGTATTGGCCCTTTAGGATACTCTTGTTGACGTTTGCCTCCATCTTGAATCTGGATAGATATCAAGTTGCTTCGTGATCCACTGGCCATGACAGGTATGGTTGATATTGAGTGGTAGTCAGGGTTACTCCCCGGAGGTCCCCTGCTGGCAACAGGGGCATGATTTCCACTGTGCGGCTGCTGGGGGAGCATTTGTTGGGGTGGGGGTGCAACATGTTGCTGTTGGGATGGAACATGCTGTTGAGGGGCCTGCACATGCTGCACATGACCCCCAGGAGCCTGTTGATGCATATGTCCTGGGGGTGGTGCCTGGGTTGGGGGCAGGCTCTGAGTGTGGTTAAGATACCCTGATAAAGGATCCTGGCGTCTGGGGGCAGGTGCAAGATGTGCCTGTTGCTGTTGTTGCTGCTGTTGATGAGGCTGCTGATGCACCTGTTGTTGTTGCTGAGGCTGGGCATGCGGCAAATGAAACATTGGTTTACTGGCAAGCTGACTGGAAGGTTTGCCTACCTCCTCTCCATGCCTGTGAGCGTAGTGGGCCTGGAGATCCCTGTGGGAGAGGTAAGTTCGCCTGCACCCAGAGGACCCATGCTTTGAGCCCCCATGCGTGCAAATGAACACAGTGCCAAGGGCTGACTGCTCAATGCGTTGTACAGGGTCATTGCATCTGGAAGTAAATGCAATATTCAGAAACTTTTTTCATGCAAATTTTGGCTACTTCTGAGGTCTTTTTCTGGAAAGACATTTTTTAATTAATCTTATTTCTTCACATTGAAGACTGCAAAAAATAGTGTTTCATTATTAAGCTTACAAAATGTGAAATCGTATTCTGTTTTCCAAGCAGTAGAAGTTATCACTTGGTCACCTTGAAGGACTTATTATAAGCATGTATTTTGAAAATGGAGGAATATAAATAAAAGTTGATTTTAATTCTAAATGTCACTCCAATCTGGAAAGAGCATTTTAATGCTTATAAAAATCATACACTAAAAGTGAAAAAACGAAAACACCTTTCATCACAATAATTTATCTTTTAATGATGAAAATGATTCAAGAGGTGTGCAGAAGGTTCGTAAATACTGTACTTCTATTTGATTTGACGCTACTTATTTTGGCATTTGCTGTTTTGAACATTTGATGGCTACTTAATTTGGCAGGCTTGCAATATTACAATTAAATGTACTAATGGTACAAATTTACATGGTACTAAATTAAAACAGCCACCAAATTACTTTTAAGCTTAGTATTTTACCAAATTCTCAAACTGCTTACCTTCGACAATTTTTCTCAGTCTGTTTAGCACAATCAAAGCAAAACACATGTTTGCAAGGGATCTGAAATGCAAATGACACAATCACTAGTATTTATAATCTCAATCACTTGAAATGTTCAAAGTTTAATATGTGAACTGGAGTAAAACTTGCTTAACTTTTCATCACAAGCCAGTGCAAATACTGAGGAACATTCGGTTATGTTATGCATGTGTGTCAAGAAAATTATTCCATTGTTCATTTCTTGAATTAAAATTGACAAGTTGTCCAGATTTAGTTGAGACTGGAGCAAAATTTAGATTTCACATCATTTGCTTAATGGGTCACTCCTATACCATTTTTATTTTGTGATAAACAACCTTTGTGTGGCTCCCACACAAAGTGCACAGACTCACACCCATCAGTGCAAGTTGATGACAATATAGTACTTACCATTCTTCCATATATAAGTATAGGTAGTTGACAGTATTCACAGCAATGTATAAGAGGATCTACCACTTTTTCTCCTATTAGATTCACCTGCAATTAAGAATATTTAACTTATTTTATGTACCATACCCTGCAAATTGCAACCATAGGCATTTAATTTAGGAATATCCAATAATTTTGAGGTATATAGCCATGAAGTGGATTAATAATCAATAAGGTAATATGTTCTAGTCATGGTGCAGGATAGGAAACTGTCAACTGGGTATAATAAGGGTCATCTGGCCCCTTTACAAAAAACTAAAATTTCTAGATAATGTTCAAGATTCTTCAAAGCAAGGCCTTAGGGAAATGTGAGACCTTCAGTCGCAATTTAAAAATAATCTACAAGAGGTATTTGTGAAGGTTTCATTGTTCAATTCATAAATATGAGTATACCTTATGATCCCATTGTAGTTTGCTTCCATGATGTATAGGCTCAGATGGTGGGTTCAATGGTGGCGGTGGTTCAGGAACCTCATCTTCAGACACACCAGAACCTAAAATGAAACAGATAAAGAAATTAGAACATGAAAAATGCCATGTTTTGGTAGGTTCATATGGTGCATGCAAATATTGGAAAACGGGTGATATTTTTCAAAACAAAAAGCAGATTTCTCCAAAAAAAGGCAATTACCCTATAGGAGCCGAGACCAATGTGGTAAATTACCAGTATGGTCCTCTGAGGAATCAGATGTTTCAGACAATGTGCAGAAAATTGTTAATTGGTAAACAGACAATAGAATGAACAGACATTAGGCTCATCATGTGAGCTAAAAGGATTTCAGTTGTCAACTGTCTTAATTCAAATTCTGATACTTCTCACATCTCTATTCTGCAAATCCAAGATGCTCTGATAATAACAACCCAGAATTACCAATCTAGAATGCATTTCACAAATGTACATGTATCCTACTATTTCAAGAGTGGTAAGATCATAAGAGTTGGTTATTGTTGTACTCCATATCATAAAACCTATTCATCAAGCATTATAATTCTATGATTATGCAAAGCAGATTTTATTTATTGACTGGTCTACATGTAATTCTTTTTTAATTGATGTGGTATTACCTCTTCTTTCTTGTACTGCCATTGATGGTCTTTCTGGTTCATCATCCATTGATTCTTCTTTTTCCACAACATGAGCAGCTTTACGACCTCTGCCCCTCCCCCTTCCTGCCTTTCTACCTCTCCCCCTCCCTCGTCCTGATTTCAACTTGAGCGAGATGTCTTTTCTAACATTGCCTTGTCGGGATGTTCCATCACTCTCTGAATCAAGACCTAACTCAAGTTCTGCATGCAAAAATAAAAGAAGATGGGAAATAAGAAATTGTTTTCCTAATTCTTTAATAGGCATCAATCCATTGTGCGATAAAAAGCTGAATTTCTTAGTATTTTAGTTCACATTTAGTACTGTTTATATTTTATTTATCCAGCAATTGTAAAAAATTTGTCGTGTCAATGAAAATAAGACATATGTCATATGTAGAGCCTATGGAAAGGGGGTTTTGTCACGTAATCACGTCAGGTGGTAATACGTTTTCACGTCGCACGTTACTAATCAGAATTACTTTCACGTTTCACGTCCATCATCAAAATATTACATTCACGTTTCATGAAGATCAAATATCATTACATTCACATTTCAGGGGTATCAAATAAATCGCTAAACTGTCCAATGGCAGACTCAGCGAAATCACTCTCCATTTTGCTTGTAAGACTTGCAAAGTCCAGACGATGGTCTCAAAGTCCAGATATCTCAGTATATCAGGTTGATCTTTGTATTCGCCGGATTGGCTTGCTATTGGTTGAATTTCTAATAAGTCGTTATTCTCAACCAATCAAAATAGAAGAAAAGAAATTAAAATATTAATATCCCCATGGTATTACACCCTCTCTTATGTTAATCTTTGTCGCGTTTTGTAACTGGAGTTCTGATTGGCTAAAAACAGAAGAGTTTAGAAATAGGAACTAATTACATTTGAGTTTACAAAGTCGACAAGATTTATCACAAAAGTGAACGTAGGATCAAATGTATTTTCGCTGAACGATGTTTCATTTATTCTTAAAACGTAGCACGAAATAACAAGACTGAACGGCGTCACGGAGGTCTCATCATTCAAAACACGATGCACGAGGCAATGTTTATTGACTTCACGATGCACGGGGTTAACTTCATGAACGTCTGCACGGGCCTGCATTTCACGTTTCTCGTTCATTCAAAATTCACTAAAACGCTGCACGCCCGAACCCTTTCCATAGCCTCAATGTAGAAATACATTTATATTTTGCATGCAATTTAATATTATTCAGTGATCCTTCTATTGCTTATCTTGTTAGACCGACTCTACCAGATCTAGAAACGCGGGAATTCCTGAAACTGAGAGTCGAGTGAAAAAAATTGGGGAAAAATTTAAAAAAATTGAAAATTACAAAATTTTGATGAAAAAACGAGGCAATGCAATCGAGCCGTCTGAAAGAAAATATATCAATGCTATTGTTGAAGCAATAATTCAGCACATGTGAAGGTGCAAATATGACTTAAATGCCAAACAATACAAGGAAAATATTTCTTACCTTCATTCTCCATTTTGTTTTTCGATTACGCTACACAGAGGAATCTGATTGGTTGAAAACGACAAGGCTACAGTAGGCCATAAATAGTAGATTATTTGATTTGTGTCCCTTTGCTTATTATTTACAGGGAATGCAATGAATAGCATGAATAGCAAACCTTAACGAGTTGGGCTTTTATGTTTAGAAACATAGTCATTGTAATTTTCCTATATAAAGTGATCATCTTATAATAGACTTTTAATAATATTAAGCTTATGTATGTTTAGCCAGGTCTTGGTATGTAGGTTACTGTAAGCCTAGTGTTTGCAGTGCAGTCACTACAAATTGATATATCAGTATATCGTCTATATCATACCGTTTTATCGAAAGAAATGTTAAACAAAAATCCCAAAAAATGCGTTTTAGTTTGTGTTTGTTTTACTTGTTCACTTGCATGATTTGAATTTTTTCAGGATGTAAAACGAGTATCTTCCTTTATAGGCCTAATCGAAGAGGAGACGCGATACCGCCATCCTCTCTACCAATCAGCTGCTACCAATGGAGAGAGGTTCATCTATGAACTCTGGGGTATAGGAGGGGGTATCACTGGTGGATCTGGGGGGCAAGGGCCCTTTGGGTGGGACCAGAAAAAAATTGTGCCCAAAAAAATTGGCATAAGTCTTATATGTTTTTTTGGCATAGTTCTACAGAAAAATTGGGAAAATAAGAGTCTTAGAAAGATTACCTCACCCCAAACTGTCCGAAGTCGGCTGCGATCCCGGCGCAACCGTTTGAATCGATCGTTCGTGGACTTTTATTAGTCAATATTACTGCAAACTAGTCATACCTGACAGATCCGTTACGGAAACAAAATGTCGGAACCTCGAGTTGTAGGCAGAATTCCCCAGTTTATCACACACTATACGTTTGCGAACAAATAGTTCAGAAGACAACATTTTCTGATTATCATCGATTTACATATAGTAAAGTTGTGTCCGATTCCAGCCAATCCGAACACATTATTTCATATAACTGCTCTACATTATATAACCAATCACCGCACTCAAGGTTAGTCCTTGAATGGTTGAATGGTTAAACGTGCAGATCTTAACCGTTTTTGTAGTTCTGTTTACGTAACAGAAGTGAGGAATTAAATTGAAGATTATCAGTTAGTTTTCATCTTTGATTTTGATTTTTTTTATTCCTGGGTGGTCGAGACTTTAACAATTGGCAATGATATAAATAATACCGATTATATTTGTGCATGGGTCGTTACAGCAGATTTTACAAAGGTTGGTTACCATAAATTATCATCTTAAAAATAAGAAAGTTACAAATATTAGTTAAAATTAATACAGAAAATGTCTCTCTGATAATTGATTATCTATAAATATCAAATAATTTTACTATACTTATAAGTTATACTATACTCTTGTTATGCTAGCGAGTGGAAAACAGAAGCTATTGCGAATCTCCTTTGTTGACAACGACTTCTGCAACTTAGCCGTCGCGGTCTACTCTAGCCCGTTGTCAAGGTGTCCGGGTGAGATACTGTGGCTTGTTCAGTGTTATGGCAAGGTATAGACAAAAGAAAATTAATCATTATATCTTCAGGTAACCTAGACAATATGTAGATATATGTTATATTAAGTAAATATCATGGATCAGACTAATATTATCATTCCTCTTAAGCTAATACGGACTCCTAAACGGTATACGCATTGGATGTTACTGCAGCCGTATGCTAGAAGTTGATATTCGATTGACTCCGGAACACCTGCAAAACGGGCTCAACAGTCTCTGTCAGGGGGTAGAGACCAGAAATCCGCCGTTAACGACGTAAGTCACGAACAATATAAGAAGTAATTAATCAGGTAAACGGGAGTGTAATCCATGGTAACAGAACACAATGCATGTGTTCTCGAGTCGTGACTAATTGTTGTATATATCGTATCGCAATTACTGACATTCGTTAATACACGGCTTTCCGTTATTACTCATCTGATTGTGTGAAAGAATTCTCCTCGAGGATGTAACAACCAGGGACTAACAAGCAACATTTCACTGGGACTAATGGATATATCATTGGACATCGTTGGATACATAATACAGTAGTCACAGATGATTGCAGCGTTCAGCGCCTCTTCTAATGCTCGCCAAAGGAGGGCACAGGCTACCGGTGAGTAGAAAAGTTACTGCTAAGTGATATCTGTAGAGAAATTGCTTGCTTGAGTGATTATCGACTCAATATTTACTAATTATAGGTGCCATTATGTCCCGTTTTGTACTTGTCAAATCTGTCACACTTCAAACTGTCAAACTAAAACCACCATGCAAGGAAATAGGTTCAATACTGTAATTTAGCACCCAAGTGGGATTTGTAGTCCAGCTACACGACCTTGCACACAGGATCATTCAGTTTTCTGTATGAGAAGGTGTTAGTCAAGTAGAGGGGGTCACAACTATGGGATTTGTTTCATTGCATTCATTGACCCATGACGTAGTGTACTGGTCTTCGCCAGCTTCAATGGATCTTGCATGTAATAGATTCACAGGGTCGTATTTTGGCAGTCTTCCCTTGGTAGTCGGAGATGGAAAATGGGTTGATTCATCCTCCGAACGCCAGGTCCGAACGTAGTCACAGTGGATTGTTACTCCGTGCGTTCAAAGTAGTCTTATTTTTATCGTATAGTTACGTTTTGGGGATCACTAATTAGGCTTTTTGAAAAAAAACGTTTTTGCGATAATAAACCCACGCCATCAGTCCGGAATAGATCAAGAATGTCAATGAACTGCTGTTGAGCTAGACATCAAAATTAAGGTATACGTTTCTGATGGAATTATCAGTTTGACACGAAGTGTATGTTATCTTACAAATTCAACCTCCATGAGCGTCGCCCCTGGAGGAGTATAACATTATGATACTCAACGTGTACCTTTCTGTCTGCCACGGTACGATGGCGCCCTGTGGATGACACGATATCTTAAACATCCTTCTATCAGTTTTTTTCTTGTGAATAGTTGCAAAATAGAAAAATGTTATGACTAAAAATGAGAAACCATAGCCTTAGTTCCATTAGCTTCTTTAATTATTTATAGTTGAATGAGGCAGAAAGATATGATGAGTATCAGAATGTCAAAATGTGGATAAGTCAAATGATATACACTTTGGCTCAATGCAAAACTGCGACTTAAGATCGTAGTATTCAGTATTACAGCTTCAGAGCTCTCAGCTATCGTTAAGATTATTGATGGATCGTGCTATTTTCTAATTTGACAAGGAAGTGGATTATTATTTCCAAGACCGGCACACCATGCTCTAATTTTTGTTCAGTTCCGCTCTAACAACCTGCTGAGAAGTGCAAATAATTCAAATATGATTCTCCTATTGTCAACCTGATTGAGGATCAAAGACGGGGTGCTCTTATTTCCTCTGTCTGTTCATTAGCTATCTTCATGACGTCGTAGCCTATTTATTCGAATTCCGTTTATAATAACGACGATGACAGGGTGAGCCAAAAAAAGGTAACCCAAATAAATCTTAATAACCCAGTCATCCGGCATGGGTGTTAAATCATATGTGGTACAATTAAACCTTATTCAATGTGCTTTCGTTCTAGTAAGTTTCATTGGTCTATTTAGAATGATCACGATTTTATGGCCAGTTTACAAAACATGGTCAAAATGACAAAACATACCAAAATCACCCAATATCAATCCCCAGAATTTTATCACTGAGGCTATTTCAAAGATAATGTGTACAACTGTACAATTCCCTAGAAGCATCAGAGAGTTGAAACAAGAGATCGCTGCAGAAGGAAAATGAGAGGCATTACACAAGATGTCTGTGAGCATGTAGTCAGAAAACTTCCCCTTAAATGCGTTCAAGTCTCTCTCTAAAGACAAGATCGGCATTTTGAGTTTTGTAAATGATCATAAATTTTGTGACTATTTGGAATAGACCAATTAAACTTGGTGGAATGAAAGAACATTGAACTGATCAAGGTTTGTGCCAAATATTACTAGTATTTAAAACCCATATCGGCTCATGACTTAATAATTAATTTGATTGGGTTATGTTTTTGGCGCACCCTGTGTATTCACTCATATTATACCTATCTGAGGTGAGATATAGCTATTCTAGCTATGATATTGTTCAAAATATCGTGCTATATGTGAAAAGAAAATGATTCAATGGATTGTGTATGATTTAATGCACCCGTTTCTTGTATGGTTACCACATTTCTCGGCCTGTCAGCCTCGGTTAAGGCGCTCCCATACAATGGCCTCGTTCATTAAATCAGCAGAATTTCTCAAAGTCCTATTAAGCAAAAAAATCGCGAAAATTCAAAATATAAAATACATCTTCCCTTTCACTGCTCGGGGAGATGAGAGGAACGATTTTCCTACTCTTGGCCATAAAAGGTATGGCCACTTATAAAACCATATCATTCAAGGTATGAGTCGCGTGATCTGAATCTGTATATAACTTCAAGGATGCCCATCTCCTTCATTACTCTGACCACCTATTTATATATTCAATAGTCTTATCGTGAGAAATCATGGCCTCTATTAGCCAGCTTCTTTCTAGTTGAAGGCAGAAAGATGTGATGAGTAGCAGAATCCCTTCTGAACACAATTAAGACTCTTATAAATGTATTGTAAAAATGGCAATTACAATGAAAGCGAATGCTCCAGGGTGCAAGGCCAGACAATTGCATAAACTAAAAGAGTACACTTTATAATTAATGGATCAGATATTATTTCGATCGAAACGTCATAAATATTGTTATGTTTTGTTTCAATTCCCTTGTCAATTGAATTTCTGATAACTTTAATGTAAATTGATCGCAGTGAGAATAATGTAAACTGTATTCATTTCCGTCCCGGAGACAATCGGTAATAATGGACATCATGATATCCCAGTCATAACAAAAGAAACTTTCCAACTTTGGAGCATGAATAAACATAGTGATCATAATATAAATGTTTTCATATTGACTAACTCTCCTGGCACAATCACTGCAGGACTAACACA